ATGTATGTATGTATGGATGTGTGTGTGTGTGTGTGTGTTTTGCATATATAGATGCACGCTCCCCCCTCGAGCACCACACCAGAGTTGCGACTCTAACGCGTGAGCACAGTGGGAGAGAGGGGCGACACCATAGACAAACAGGCATATGTCTAGAGAGCAATAGATACATCGACAATGACAAAACGTTTTGTCGAGCGCCATTAGCTTTTGGCTTTTGCTACATGTTTTCGTTCGGTATTCAGGGGTTGTAGGATTCAGGGTATCCAGCTTTTTGGCTTTGGGCTCAGTTCACCGCCGGGTCTGAGGTTATAAACAGGCTTCAACTCTGTGATACTGTACTGTACTGTACTATACGATATACTGTACTACGTTACCACATACTATACTATATACGATATACGAGATACGACATGCGATATACGAGTTATGATATACTGGATACTACATACTACCTATGTGCTATATGCTTAAATACTTATATACTCGTTCGCAACATAACATATATTATATACTACAAATTATACAGTTTATAACACGTACTATGTGATATATACTGTATACGATTTACTTTAACGTTTTCGCTTACTATATACTATATACGGTACTATACTAGATTCTAGTGTCTCCTATAGTATATTACTATCACATATCTTATCTTAGTACACTAAGATGTAGAAGTTTCTCCTGTCGTCCTCACAAGCAGGGCTGTTGCATTCTACGGAAATCGGGCTTAGGGGTTACAATATCGAGGTCAGTCGAGCTGTTTAAACCTATTGATTTTCGGTTATCGGGTGCAACTTCTGGGGTTTAAGATTTCAGAGTCTTCAGACGAATTAAAGGTTTAGATCTGAGGGTTCAGTGCGCCAAGGTGTTTTGCTGCACAAGGCTTGTGGGATCGAAGGATGGAGAAAGCACCGGTTGAATGCTACTTAACATTTTGGCTAGTATCATGATTATTATTATGATAAGCATTATTCGTATTATTATCATTGTTGACATTTAATTCGTAATAGCATTAGTAATCTTATTAATATTCATCGTACTATTCTTCTTATTGCTTTTTGCTATTGTTATTGTAACTAGTATTCTTGTCATTTTTATCATCGCATTGAATCAGCAAGCCTCCCGCGATTTGCATGGCGAGTAGGCGGTCCGGGAAGTATGCTACTGTTACATTGTCGCGTACGATCCCACGATACATTATATCGCAGTACGCCTTCTCGACCGTACATGGTCGTAACATTCTGTCGTAAGCTCTGTCCCCAAATCCAAAACTAGTTTGTTCCGCCACCAGGTACTTCGTGACTTGGCTTCCGGCGGCGGTGGTGGAGGCTTTGCGGGATCTCCGTGAGTGCGAGGCTGGCATGCAGTCGCCCAGCTCATCACCCCTTGCGGGGTCCAACTCACCGCCCTTGCGGGGTCAAGTGTCGACGCTGAAGGATGCGCTGCTCTTGTTCCCGGCACCCCAAGTCGCTGTCGAGTCGACTTGGTTTTTGTGAAGCAGGGAGGGAACAGCTGCGTCTGAGGACATGTGCCTCAGCAGGTGAGATTGGACCGACGTCATGGTTTCACAAAACGGTGCATGACGAAGGCTCCAGGCCAGCTCAACCCACGCACCGTGCTTTAAGGGTTAAAGGGTCAGGACTTACATATACATTTATGACTGGACGAATGTTCGTAAATAATGTTGACATGAAACGTAATCATATACGCAGATGTATATGTTTTTATGCATACATGTATATCGGAAGTAATGTATGCATGTGGATATGTATACATGCGTATACTTGTATGTATGTATTTGTATGTATATGTATGTGTATGTATGTATATGTATGTATATGTATGTATATGTATGTATATGTATGTATATGTATGTATATGTATGTATATGTATGTAGATGTATGTAGATGTATGTAGATGTCTGTAGATGTATGTATATGTATGTATATGTATGTATGTATGTATGTATGTATGTAT